CTAAAGTGGTACCTGAGCTTAAGAACAGTTTCAGGTTAAGAACGGACCTCCAGAACGAATTAAGTTCTTAACCTGAGGTACCACTGTACAGAAATGCAATGAATCAAATCAATTGGACTCCAACTCCCATTTGCCCCGCCCCCAGACCATGTAGCCAATGCTCAGCAATGCTGGGAATTGTAGTCCAACAGCATCTAGCGTGCCACACAGTCTCCATCCTTGGTATGGACCATTTGACCCCTTAGGCTCCACCTTCAGAGGGTCACTGAGATCCTCTGAAGGTGCCTTTCTTGAGCTTCCTTATGGCCCTGAGGTTCAGCCGGCCATTACTAGGGACCAAGCCTTTTGTGTGGAAGCCCCTGCCCTGTGGAACTCTCTGCCAGTAGAGGCTTCGCAGGACCCATACCTGCCTTCTTTTTGATGTCACCTAAAAAATGGTGTTATTTAGACATGACTTGGAAATGTGAATCTTCTTTTAATCAGACAGTACTTGCGGATTCCCCCACTCTGGTTTTCTTAGTGTCGCTGTAATTTGTAAGTGCTGCTTACAAATTTAGGAAGGAAGGAAGGAAAGAAAGAAAGAAAGAAAGAAAGAAAGGACTCTTTTGTAGCCCACAAAGGATTTTCCCTCCTGGAGGTAATTCTTACTTGCCACAGGCAACTGGCTAGGTGGTTAATTCAGGCTTGTGATATCCAGAGTGCAGCGTAAGGGCTTTTTAAGAAACGTTGTCACATGGCAGGAGGTAAGTCTCCTGCCAGGCACCAGTGAATGTAGATTTGAACTGCATCACTCACCATCGCTGACAACCAAGCCTTGCCCTCAAGCTGCCCATACATCTTGTTCTACCTGCAAGCATGGAAAGTAGGGAGAAAAACAGTTCTATACACGTCCTATAACTTTCCATTGAGCTGGCAGCTCCCTCTCGCCCCCTCTGTATTTACATAGGCCAGATAGCCGGTGATTGCAACTCCGTATCTTGTCCCATCAATTTCAAACATTTTGAAAATTGAAAGCGGACGGGAAGACGGAATAGATGTAGATATATATATTTCAAGGCACTATTTCATCTGTGTTTGAAACCAGCGGCCGACTTGTCTTCTGCCATTTCCCGGGCAACTTATCAACTCGCTTAGTACTGTTTTCCTTGCAGTTGCTAGAGATTGATGGGAGCGAAAAGGGGGAAGGAAAGGTTAGCCCTTAATTGCGGCTTGAAAACAGCATTCATTCTGAGAAGCTTTGCAAAGGTTTTCTCTTTCCATTTCCAAGGAGTTTCAGGTCAATACGCAAAGACTGAGCACTCATGGCAAAGTCTGCAGTCCCACGCCCCAAGGCTCAGTATATGATATCTTTTGAAATCAGGCCAAAAGCAACATCAAATCCATCTGGAGGCCACAGACTGCCCATCGCCTGGCATATAGGATTGCAGCCTTAATGGTTTTTGCCTGTGCAATCATTGCGGGGGATGTTGGTGCTGGAGATCTCTAACAGAGAGCTTTGCAGATCAAACTACATTTCTCAAGATTCGTTGGAGGACACCATGGTAGCTAAATTGGTAAAAAGCTTATATAAAAGTTTAGATATGCCCAGAGTGGGGCTAAAATGTCTTCTTTCCTCCACTCTTCTCATGTGAACAAAGTAAGTGTGTGTGTGTGGGGGGGGGTTTGGGGGGGAACAAACCTATTGTTTTTGTTAGGTACATGGAAGAGCCATTCTAGTGGCAGTTGCTACATAGCTGGGTTTCGCAAACTCGGGTCTCCAGTTGTTTTTGGACTACAACTCCTGTAATGATATCAGGGGGTTACTCGAGAGCAATCAGGCAAATGCCTCCCTGGTCTGTTGTAAAGCCTCGTTATTGGTGCCAAAAACCCTTCACCATGCAGAGCGCCACTATTCCGTGGCTGGCTCATTCACTGGCAGAATCTGTGAGTGGGCGGTCCTTAAACCTTCCCCAGCAGAGTAGTTTCTTGATGCCCAATCTGCACCTCCCCTCTCGGCGCGGAAGCCTACTGCGCAAGGAGGGCGTGGGTAACGGAGGACCTCTCTCCTCCCCGCTTTGCTCAGGCAAGGTGTCCTGGCACTGCCTCGCCTCCTCTGAGCCCTGAAGCTCCTCTCCACTGGAGGCGTGGTTACTCTCCTCCGCTGAGGAGGTGCTGCTTCCCATGATCTTTGGGGGCTCTCTGTAATCCATCCGGCTTTTCCCCTCTCACCCCTGAGCCGATGGCAGTTCCCTGACAAGCAGGCCCAGTGGTCAAGGATGATGGAAGTTGCAGTCCAAAAGCAGCTGGAGACCCGAGTTTGGCAAACCCCGCTATGTAGGAACGTAGTGTGCTGCCTCATGTTGAGTCAGACCGTTGCTCCATCTAGCCAGAGGCGTACCTAGGGTCCCTTGTGCCCTTGGCAGGGAACTGTATCAGCACCTCCCTGGGGAAAAAACAACATTTCTCCCACGTTTGATCTCCTCTTGGCAGCAGTGGTACATCACCACAGAATATATGTCTTACATTCCACAGCCTCCAGCATTCTGCCTTGCTATTTCTCTTAGCATTCAGCTCCCAGATCGTGTCTAAACTCGGGAATTTACATAGATAACTGGAGACAGATTTCTGGGGTGAGTTTTGCACCCCTGTACAGAGGCTGGACAGGGGCTGTACCCTTGGACAGAGGCAGGTTTCCCAACCCCTAGATAAACCTCTGCATCTAGGTCAGTATTATTATTCTGTATTAAATTTGTATACCACCCTATGCCCGTCTCAGGGTGGTTCAAAGGATAAACTCACAATATAAAAATGCAAAACACATAATTACATAGTGTAGCATTGCCTTCACTGACTGGTAGTGGCGCTCCACAGCTTCAGACAGGGTTTTCTCCCAGTCCTACCTGGCGATGCCAAGGACTGAACCTGTGACCTTCTTGATCCAAAGCAGATGCTCAACTGCTGAGCCACCTACCCTCTAAGGAATCATTCACATACAAAGCAAACCCCCTGCACTACAGCCAAACATCACGTGCCCTTTTGCATCATGGGTAGCCCTGCTCCATTCTCTACCAGGTTTGTGGGAATGTTCAGGGATGCTGGAGAGGATATATTGTTTGATTATAGCCTTTCCAACTTCTACAATTTAGCAGAGTAACATTCCCCTTTTTAAACTCACAGCGGATGTGTTTGCTCAGGCTCACTAAAGCCTCTATAATAACTGTTCTGGTATTTTCCCCTTATTCCCTCATAAAAGATAAGACACAACACAGTCTTCTATAAAAGTATAAAAAGAGTTTACTCACTCACATTCTGTTCCAAATCGGATCGCAGAAGGCAGACTTATCTTAGAAAAGTAACATACACCTGGAAACTATCTCATAAGGAGACAGCCCCTTTGTCCTCTCTTGGCTGGAAGCCATGAGAGCATCTTTGCCTAAGCAGATGTTGCTTCTTCGACGATAGTAGTCACAGAGAGAGAGATGGCTGTCCTGCCCTGTGCACAGGTGAGGCCACGCCCACCTCTAGTCACATGCAGAGGAAGTCTGTCCCAGCCCAGAAGGAAACAGGAAGTTTACCTGCTGGCTGGACAAACATTCCTCCCCATGTGAAAACATGTTCACTCTAGGAATGTTGTACTTGACTGCTCTTGTGATTCACATCCCACAAGGTTTATATCAACTGATCATCACTCCCACTAACAGCGAATTCAGGTGTGAGTGCCGACCGGATTGGAGCCAAATTTAGCCCCCTGAGAAGCAATAAATAGGGATTAGCTCATTTGAATGTCTCTCACAGTTTGAAAAATATCTTTATTTTTTATAATAAATAAATGGGACACACTTTTTTAAAAAAGCCCAATGAGGACTGAAGATGAGCCACAGAAAGTTGCGGTTCAGTTGGGAAAAACAAAAACAAAAAAGGGAAACCAGGATGAGATGGAATGGAGTATCCTAGTTGCATCATTGGCTGTCTAGAACCCTAAACTAGAGGAACAGCTGATGCATTGCAACATTATTCAATTCTGCTTTCACCTGCTGCTCTTGATGGGGCAACCATTGTCTCCTCCCGAAAACAAAGAACACGGTAGCCATCTCAGCGATACAGCGCCCAGATTGAAGTATGAGCCATTTGCTTTGAGGGCCATGGTAGTTCATACAATAACTCCTAGTTTGTTTTAAAACATTTGCAAGCCCTGTTCAAACTTTTAATAGCAGTATAGGAAAAGGAATTTTAGCGGGTGCTTCCTGCTTATCCTGCATCCACAGGCTGTGAAATTCAGGGGACAGAACTGCAGTTGTGCTTGCTCTTTAAAAACAAAACAAAACACGTATGGGCTGCATTTTTTGCACCTCGCTGAGGCCCATCTTAGAGCGTGGGGATAAAAACAACCAGGATGCAAGGCATAAAAGGACAGGTGCTGCTTTTGTCTTACACAGATGTTGCTCTGAAATGCTTTTCCTCCAGATATCCAGAATGCATTTGGTGCAAGTCTGATGCGCTTTACCTGCCTCTTAAATCTGTCGAGCTGAAACCTGGAAGTGGACAAGGCCTGGAAAACACAGTGGAGAGCAAAGAGGCTTGTTGGGAACCCGAGGGTCCCTGGAGATGGTAAGCCAACCTGGACGCCTCCATCCCTTTTAGATTCAGTGCGAGGCTTGAGCAGGTTTCTCGGGTCTGCCTGATGCTCGAGCGCCAATGCCAGGCGAGAGAGGTCATTGCTGCACGCAGCCAGGCCCCCTTTCCTGCTTCCCTTCCGCGCACACTCAGCTTGACATTACAGATGCTGCTGCTGCTGCTGCTGATAAACCATCACAGAAGCTTATTCAGCTTTGCTTTTTGCCAGGCTGCTCTGCCTGCTTTTCTCTCTCCCTCCCTCCTGATTTCACCAGGAGATACAATAGCTAGAGCTGCAGATTAGACTCCCTCTCTCTCCTCCCCACCCCTCGCCCCCCACCCCTCCTCCCGAGACCTCACTGCGCTTTGACGTCACGAGCGCTCCTTTCCCGTTGCCATGGCAGCCCCATTCCCCAAGCCCTCCGCCTGTCTCCTCTGGTAGGTTCCACAATGGTACAGCCAGCATCACGATGCACAATGGTCTCCAGACAGTAAAAGAGGGTGATTCAGCAAGGCGCCGTCCCTCTCGTTTCTTCCTCCTCCTTTCCTCCCCGCGCGTCCCTCCCGGCTTCTCCTCGCTTTGTGCGCCTCCGCCGCTTTGATCCCGGGCATTCCGAGTGTTTCGTGCGCCCCCCCCCATCTCCCACGCAACTCCCACCTTGGTCCAGGTCTCCCGGCTGCCACTTGCCCATCAACCTCTCCAGATCTCCCTCCTCCCTCCGACCACATCACCACCCACCCTCCTTCCTCGTTTGGCTACCCCACCACCCACCTATCTCCTCCTCCGCCTTGGGAATGTGGTTTCCAATGACCACCTAAGGTCGCGCCGCGCTAGGGGGAAAAGGTTGCTGCGTTCAAGAGGCTAGTCCGCAGCCCGGAACGGTAAGTGATGGGGATGCTGTGTGAAGCTGGGGGGGGGGAGGTCCGCGCGTTGGGGTGGGCTTAAAAAACGCACACACACACACACACACACAACAAACAACACGCCGACCTGTCTTTGTGAGGAGGTGGGGTGATGAATATTGATTCGCTGTTTAAAAATAATAAAGGGGAGGGGGAGAAGTGTATGTGGGGGGGAGGGGAGAGGGAGGGGGAGGGAAAGAGAGGCAGAGGCAGGTTCATGAAGTAAACTGCTCACCGAGGGAAGGAGGCAGGAGCGGCGGCGCTGGAGCAGCATCTTTCGCCTTGTGTTTGGGTTAGTATTGGCAGGGTTTAGGTGATGGGTAAGGCGCAAAGCAGGCGGGGAGGCTGTGTTTTAGCAATCTGGGGGGATGTAAACATTGCCATCCCCGTGCCATCTGCAAAATAGCGGTGGCTTGTATTTCTGTTGAAAGACTCCATGCCCATACATTAGATCCAGTTGCATGGGGGCTGGTGTGTGTGTGTGTGTGTGTGTGTGTGTGTGTGTGACAGAGCTTATGCGTGGGGTTTTATTTAACGGTTCTTCAAAAGGGCACCCCTCCCTAATTCCCAAAGCTCTCACCGCCATCCCCCGTCACAGATGGATGTGGAAAGGAATGAGAAGTAGATGTCTCTTGGAAACTATGTTGATGGGATACGTATGTGGGGTGATGGTGGAGGGACGAAGGTGGGAGTGGAAAATTCCAAGCTTCTCCCCCCCCCTTAAGGGAGGGGAGTGACCCCCCCAGGAAGTCATTTCTTAAGCGAAACACCACTGTCTTGCATAACACCCCCCCCCCACACGAAGTGGGGAAGATGGTGCGTGTTTACAGACGGTAGCATTTAAAGTAGCTTGGCTCTGTCTTGCGAAGGGGACACCCTACAAATTCTTGCAAAGACTGCAGTGAAATCAATGGAGCTTTACGGAAATAGCTTCTGACAGCCCCGGCTATTACAATAGGATGGAATCTTTGGGTACCGTTTCCCCTCCACCTTCTGCAATGCGGGCCCTATTAAAAGATGTGTATAGTTTGCATGTCTTTTGGAGGTCAAAAACATGCAGATCCATCTTTCTGGTGGGGTTCTGTTTTTTTGGTGTTTCTGCTTTTGTGTGTGTGCGTGTCCTCAGCCTTCACTGACTATAGGCTTGTTTACATGGGCGCCTTTTGCTGCATAGCCCTCGCAGTTTCTTCAATGCAGTTTTTGCATCCGCTCATCCGGTGACTTTTTCCTGGAGTCTTGGGAAAGGCAGATCAAACCTGTAATATGTAGAGCCAGGTCTCTCTCCTTTTCACCAGTTTTTAAAGGGGGAGGTAAATGAAGGTGACCAGAGCGGTGTTAATGGATATTGTGTTGGCTGATATTTTCACTGTTTTGACTGTATTGGCTGCTTCTGGGTGCTGCTCGCCTCATGCAAGGCCAGTAAAGATGGGGGTGTGTTGAGGAGACTGCCCTGCTGCTGACAGGAAAGGGAGATAGGCTCTGATTGTGTGTTGAGCTCTGCCACATGCAAACAGGCTCCATTCGAACAACATGAGGACAGAAAAGCAAAGGATCTTTGGGAAAGGGGCACTGGGAGGAAAAAACGGTTACTGGCAGTGTGCTTGAATTTGGCAGCTTCCCTGGTGTTTAATTCCTCTCTCCGCCCGTCCCCCATCCCCAATGTAGCATCCGTAAGGCTGCTGGGTCCAAAATTCAAAACAAAGGAATGCTAGGGAGAACCAATGATGTGAAACAGGGGCTGCCCCCTTAGGGTAAGATATGCCAATAGAGCATCTGACAAGCCTGAATTATACTGGCTCATTTCCTGGCTCCCCCTCCCCCCCACATTATTATTAAACAAATGGCAGAAGTGGTGTGATCTGAGCTATTAAATCAGGAACCTGCCCCCTTCCCCCTCTCTCTCTCCCAGATGGACTTCTGCCTTGCTGCTTCTGAGCATATATTGTTTTGCAAATGCCCTGTATTCTTGTTGTTGTGGCTTAGGGGAGAGGGGTTTGGCAATGCCGGAATAATTTGGGAAAGGGCGAGGAGCGTTCAAGGTAGAAACGTTTGCTGCCTTTGGCCGTCTCTGCTTGCATGCTGACTATTAGAAAAAAAAGCAAAACCTGGTCCTCTTGTTGTTTGAGAGATGTGTGTGTGTCTACGTGCCTGCTTGCTGGGAGAGGCTGTTTATGAGCGGCTCCCAGAAGGGATGAGTGTGTGTGTTTTGCTGGCATATCTGTAGCCATTATTTAATGGCTTCCTAGCACAGAGGTCAATCACCGAAAAGAAAAAAATGTTGCTAAAGACACTGCAAACTCACACTCTTATTCTTGCAGACAGAATGGGGGAAATCTGAGGACACACTGAGTCTCATTTGGGAACACTGAAGGGCCTTATATGTGGGGTTTTGGGGGCATGTTTTTGTTTGCTATTTGCTGAAAGATCCTTATCCCCTTCAAAGAATTCTGGGGGTGCAATGGGACTCAGAGGGCATCAGTCGGTTGAATCTCCTGCATAGAAAAGAGAGACAAAAATGGAAGAGCACAGAACACTGATGGAAACAGGCTGATGTAGCATCTTGGGCAGTGTGTCAGGGCTCGGCCAAGGAGATTGTTGCTGTCCAAGTCTCCATTTGCTTCCTGACTTTGGGCCAGTCAATATTGCAGCCTAATTGCTTCCCATGAAGTTGTGGGGATAAGCGAGTTGAAGAAAGGCTGGGATTTAAATTGAAATTATTACTATTATTATTATTATTATTAAAGGAACATCCTGAAAAGTCTTTTAAACAGCTGCTAGGATCCTGATATCACCAATGTTTCCTGCCTAAGTAGGAGGGCCAGTTGCTCAGCAGCAGAGTGCATAAGGTCCTAGAGAGAGTCTCCATTGAAAGCAGCATTTCCCAAACTTGGGTGTCCACCTGTTTTTCGTACCACAGTTCCCATAATCCGTGAGCGCTGCTTCTGCTAGCTAGGGATGATGGGAGTTGTAGTCCAAAAACAGCTGGTGATCCAAGTTTGGGAAACACTGATTAAAGGACCCCATGGCTTGGAAATAGCAGAAGCCCCATGAGCTGCTCTCAGTTTGATCAGACAATATTGGAGCTAGGCCATTAGTTCCCAAAGTGGACAGGACCACCCATTGGGGGGATGCTAGAGGTGTAAATCACTACCATACTTGGAAAAGCTGGTATCACTGGTTCCAGTTCATCAGTTTGTTGAAGTAATTAAATTAAATAGTTTTAATTGGTTTGTAAATAAAGGTGCACTAATTGTTACTGATCTGAATTTTACTGTGTTACTACCTTCTTTAGTAGGTTGTGCAAACTGCTCTTATCATTAATGCTTTTTATAGGGTAGGGGGCACTGGGGATTAGTTTATGGAACCAAGGGAGTAGCGGTCCAAAATAGCTTGGGAACAACAACAACAAAAACAATTTTATTATTTATACCCCGGCCATCAGGCTGGGCTACCCCCGCCACCCTGTGCAGCTTCCAGCACATATAAAAACATCAAACATTAAAAGCTTCCCAATACAGGGCTGCCTTCAGATGTCTTTGAAAAGTTATGTACAGTGGTACCTCGGGTTAAGTACTTAATTTGTTCCGGAGGTCCGTTCTTAACCTGAAACTGTTCTTAACCTGAAGCACCACTTTAGCTAATGGGGCCTCCTGCTGCTGCCGCGCCACCGGAGCACAATTTCTGTTCTCATCCTGAAGCAAAGTTCTTAACCTGAAGCACTATTTCTGGGTTACCGGAGTCTGTAACCTGAAGCGTATGTAACCCAAGGTACCACTGTAGTTCTTAATCTCCTTGACATCTGATGGGAGAGCGTTCCACAGGGAGGGTGCCACTTCTGAGAAGGCCCTACTGAGGTAGATGGACCAATATCTGGGATCTATAGAAGGCAGCTCCTGACACATATATCTGCAGAGCCATCCTATCCATGTTTAATGGAAGTACGGTATAACTCTGTGCATTTGTATAAGTGTGCCCTTCCAGTGTGGCTTAGTCTCAGGCAAGTGTTCATATACTTGTAGCCTAAGCTTGCAATTTGAAATATACTTACAAGGGGATAAGCTCCATTTTTCAAAACAGTTTTATTGAAGCTTAACATACTGAGCACTAAGCTCTATTTGAACACAGTGGGACTTACTTCTGAGTAAACATGCACAAGATTGCACTGCTATTCAACGATCAGGTAGAAAGGACAAATAACCACTCTTCTGAGATGACCACAGTGCCTAAATCAGGGTTTTAGCATCCCTCCCTGCCTGTGTTGGTTATTTTGGGGGAAAACAAAGCATCTCTGCAGCTGCTCTAAATTGGCTAACATATGTGGTGTAATCCATCTAAATACTCTCTCTTATTTCTAAAACTTTTGTTAACTGCTTGGGGAAATGGAAATTAAAATTTAAAACACTGAATGTACTTTTAGCATTACAAAATTATTGGAATTGGAATGGATGTTTCGATAGCTTTGTGTGTGTTCTGATTTCTTGAGTTACTGTGCAGGGTGGGGCAATGGGCAGGAAGGAAAGTTAAGCTCCTTCAATCAACCAGAATAAGAAACATTTGCAAATGGGTTCCCAGGCAGCCTCTTATCCAGGTACTGTCCAGTCTGAGGCCTGCTTAGCTTTAGCATCGTAACAGCAGCACAAACCTTCTCTTCGCATCCTCTTGGCATCTTCTTAACAGTAATTGCCATCAAGTTCCTCTCTTCTTCCTATATTCAGCATTCTTACAGGCATGTTCACTTAAAAAAGCTTTGCAAAGTGGCTAGGGTTTCATACTAATCAGAAACAAGGCCGCCTTTGCTGCAAAGACTTCTTTTTTTGCTTACTTTAGCACCATTTGCAGAGAGAGGGAGGCTTCTGGGAGGAAATATTCTTTTAGAGGTATATAAACCGCTGTAATGAGGAAACAGTGCTTAACAGTAGCCAAGAATGCCAAGCAAAAAGCCCTCCAGCGCAAGACTTCTGTAGCCTGGAATATCCAAG